CAGGGGGGGGGGGAGGCGAGCGCGCGTGTGTAGGGTGGAACATGGCGCCAAGCGGGGGTTGCCGCGGGGGCGCGCGAGTTGGCGCGCCTTAAACCGGAGACACGCAAAAGAGGCAGGCGCCTCCCACAGCGGGAGAGGGGGGGGGCGCGCTGGCGAGTTGGCGAGGCCCGGGAAAGTCGTTTGGACGATCCCAGTCGGGGAAGTGGCGCTGGGGGCGATGGTGAAACGTGAGGCCCCTCACACCCGTCCCTCAGCTTCCCCATGCTCACAAACACACACAGAGGCGGGGGGGGAAGGACCGTCGGGACGCGCCTCGTGCGCGAGATCCGCAACCGGCGGGCGCCCTGCCGCCGCCGCCCCCGCCGCCGCCGCCGCCGCCGCGAGCCCACGATCGCCGTCGTCCTCCGGGGCAGGTGGCGACTCCATACGACGGGGCAGAGCGCACTCCGAGGCTGGGCGAAGACCGATGGACAACCCCCCTCGCCCCGACTGGAGCGGGTAGAGATCGAGTTTTTCAGTGGGCGACCCTGCCCACTTGCCGTCTCACGGGCGGCGGCAATGACACTGGGCCGGCACCGTAGAGGTGCGACGCGCGAGGACGCTCAACACTTGCTCACCTCAAGGGGGCGGGGACACGCCCCCAGGCGGGGAGACCTATGGTCTCCCCCAGCAAGTGAGCAACACAGGACCGCCTTCGGCTGGCCGGACGAGGCGCGCGCGCGTGCGCGCACCGTATATTGCCCTAAGGGGAAGCTACCAACCCCCGGATGAGAGCCAGCATGGTGATCTGGGCGCACAGAATGAGAGCAAACTACGTTGGGGGAGGGTGGACCCGTGCCCGGCGGGGGTAACTCTCGTTGGTTCTCTCTCCCGTTCCCCCGTCGGGGCCACTGGCTGCAGCCCGTGTCCGAAGACAAGGGGCAGCCCGTCGGTGTTTCCCCATCAGGAAAGGGCGCGACGCTTCCTCATTTAACGAGTGACATTCCTCAATTCGCATGGGCAGAGTGTAATAGTGTTCCGGATCTCCATTTGGAGATAGTCCGGTGTCACTCGCCCCGAGCACATGGTGGCGATGCCGGGGAAAGGGGGAGGGGGGAGGCGGGAAACCTGCCGAGGAAGGGCAGGAACAACGAAGCAAGCAGTGCTCAGTGGCGGCGCCCATGATGCCGCCGTCCAGGCCGGCCCCCCCCCCAGCACCTGACCAGACGTATCCCGTCCCGGGGGCGCAAAGTGTGGCATCCGGCGCCTGGCCAGTGCCGGGACCCCCCCCCCCCCCCCCACGTTGCGCGCGTGTGTGTGGGCCTAGGTGCCAGAGGGAGGCGAACACGCACACACGCACGCACGCACGCACGCACGCACGCACGCACGCACGCACACACAAGGTCGGGCTACCGCGGGCACACTGCGGGACCCCCTGCCCGTCGCCGAGCCGGGGTATAAAAAGGCGCGCGCCCTCAACACACTCCCAGTCCCAGGTCACATATGCACTTCCTCGCCATTGTCTTTTTGGTTCGTTTTTTTTCCTCCCTCTCCCCTCCCCCCTTCCCCTCCCCCCGCTCTTCTTCTTCTTCCCTAAACGCGCCATTGTGTACGACAACCTACTCCATGTTTCCAAGTAAATTTGTCGAAGGGTTTACTGGCGCAATAATTGCATACACGCTAGCAGCGGTGTTAGTGTGTGTGGCCTCTCATAATGACGCATCGGCTTAGGGTTTACTTCCTCAAACCCTTTGCCGTTGGTGCATTCATTAACCAGGGCCATGTCCATCTCCTCCTCATTCTCCTCCTCCTCCTCCTCCTTCCTCCACACACACACCTCCTCTCCCTTTCTCCCATGACACCTCTCTAACTCCCCCCTCCTCCTCTTCTCTCTTAGGTTCCTCCCGGGCCGCGAGACACCTCTGCTCTATGTGTGCATATCCTCTCCAGCCCGTGGCACGGCGCGGTATCCTATTTCCCCCTTTTTTTCTTTAAAAATTGAAGTGCACACATCTTGGCATAAGCGCGCGAGGGGGGGGCGGGGAGGGGCGATAGAGCCCGGTTCAGCGAGTGTGGTTCACACTTTCAGAGCAGGGCCGGAGAGAGGCGACCACCACACAGCATTCTCTCAGGCCTCGATTGCCAACAGCGCAGCCCCCCGGGAATAGGAACACACCCGCTGCTTTTCTCCTCCATTGTTGTCTTTGATACACGCAGATGCACAGACGCCAGAAAGATACCCAGGAGGGAGGCCCTGTTGCGATGAGCGCGGGCTTTCATGCCCTCGGGGAAGGGGAGGGGCGGAGGGATGCATGTGTCCACTGGGAGACTTGTAGTTGGGCGCCCTCCGCCCTCCTCCTTCCCGACCCGCGGAGGGGCACACCCATGTCAATGCCGCCCGCCCTGGGGGCAGCCTCGCCCACTGTTGCCACCCACAACCCGCCGGGGATTCATCATAGGGATGTGACCTGGCTGCCAGTAACTCGGCATCGCGGCCGACACCGGGCGAGTGCGACCAGCAAGTTGCAGAACCGTGCACGGCTGCTGCTGTTGCTGCTTCTGATGTTGTTGCTGCTGCTGCTGCTGCTGCTGCTGCTGCTGCTGCTGCTGTTGACACTGTTGCCTCCCGGAGGAGGGTGACAGATTCAGCCGGCGGAGGTACTCCAGCACAGCGCCAGTCCGGGCCCGCAACTGGTCCATGCTGGTGTTGCCAACCCGGCATCGGTCGGCCTTGGCCTTGGATGCTGCTGGCCGCTGGCAAGGCCGCGCCACTCCGCCCCACCCCCGTGGCCCAGGAGCAAAGAACAGAGGAGTGGCCAGAGACGCGGACTTCAGGCAGGAAGAGCGCTCGGCAAAGGGGCCCTCAAAGGGCGTGGTCTCAAGCTGATCGCTCGAGTGCCGAGGAGTGAGCACTGGCCATCGGCCGGCCGGATGTGCCCGGCTCGCGGGCCCGGGCGTCGGCGTTGTCGGAGATGACGACATGTGAATTGGCAAATGCTCGGAGGCAGAAAGGGGCGACCCTTCAAAGCGCAGGGGAGGGGCAGGGAAAGGAGAGGACACAGGCGAGGGTGGGGGGGGGGGGAGGGGGGCGAGGGGGATCCTGGAGGCGGCGGGGGCGAGGCGCCTCGGCCCCAAAAGAAGATGGCCAGAGCAATGTCTCCCGTCGAATCCCCTCACGTGTGGGGCCCCCTCCCCGATCG